CATTTCTATTCTATTTCCTGTTGATCTGTCCATTAAACCCCAGTTGGTAAGAGTAAGATTAAGGGTTATAAATATTTGAAACCACATTAAACACTCCTGGTTCATTGGTCTCTGTTTTCTCAACTCTGCCTCACAGACGGCAGCTAGAAAGAACATTTCGTAAAATGCTAATATGCTAATCATTAAGCCTGATGAAATGCAGCAATTTTCCTGTGATGGATTCAACCTTCCTGTTATGCATTACATACAGCGTATGCATTAAAGTTTCCTCTACAGTGGATAATAAGCATTTAAATATGAACCTTAGTGATGGTGATGTTACTATTCCAATGTTAAGAGTTCATGCGAGATGATTTACTGTGTGATTTCCTCTGGCGTCTTGTTAAAAGGACTTTAAACCAATGAAAGAAAAACTGACCTCATATCTGATTAAAAATAGGGAATGTGGAAAGTCTGGAATTTTGACCTAAAAAAAAAACGTGCAGGAAACCAGAGTAAAACCGCTGTAGGCTGACGACTGCACCGCATCCGTTGTTCTTTTTCGGGAAATAATCTCCAGCTCAAATCGCCATTCATTATTCTTTCAGTGGAGAGCAGGGTGTATTTAGGAGGGATCTAATTTTATCAACCAAGTGTCTAAATTGCCAATTTGTGCCCAGAAAGGAAGATCACTTATCCAGATTTTTCCTCCGTTCCATAATCAGGTGAAGTGGCACTTTTTTTTCCTTTTTGCTCCATTCGATGGCTGCCTCATTTTTCCGAGCGAAACACTTTACCATGAATCATCGGCGTGCCGTTCACCTCGCTCAGGTTCGCGTTTTGTCCTCAGAAACCGATGTGAATATTTCTGCCTCTCTTTTCGGATCACTTAGAGCCGCCTGTCACTCTGCTATTATTACTTTGTGGATGTTTTAATAAAAGGTTTCCTCCAGGATATGATATTCCCCCAATAGTATGTAACACCAATTTATTGCTTTACGGACAGAAGCAGAGAAAAACCCAGTGAGATTATCCAGGCAGGCAGTTCAGATATCGTCATAAGAAATGGAGAATGACTGTTTAAAAGGTAAAAGTCGAGCAAAGGGACATCTTAGAGGTTGGTGTGCCGGTTCCACTGTATCGATTTGTTTTTGAGTCTGAAACCAAACGCGTGTCAAGCTGTGTGATCCGCAGATTACCTGATATGACTGAAAATGAACTCTTTCTCAGGCGAGATTAGCTCTGAACTTTGAACCCTGAATCAATAAGTTCAGGATGAACGGCAGTGAATCTTTAGGCGGGGATAGAAGACAGGATTTCATCTTGCATCATGGCACCAGAATGCTCATCCTTTGACTGTAATACTAATGAAATGCTGTGAAAACATCATTTAGACTTTCGGTCACTTCTTAGGATGCTAAATTCAAAACGTCTTCACTTTGAAGACTCCGTTGATACAAACATGAACCTTCTCGCATATCTTCACTATCAGTCGCCTGTCCATACTTAGTTTCCACAAGTCTGAACCAGAAGTGATTCGCACCACTGAACCTCCATCTTGGTAGGCAAAGCACAGAATGTGTTCTTGGAGCATTGTGTGGCGTTGTTCCACTGCAGATTCCTGACGCTGCAGAAACGAAGCTGGCAGTGGCCGGCGACGCAGCTTTTAAAGTATGAGTCCCTGATCGCGTTGAAGGCCGCCGCAGAAGACGGGCGCTCATCAGAAGTCGGCCATGGATAATGCAGAAGTTTTAAAAGGCGAGCAAGCGTCTCGCCCCGGGCTGCTCCGTCTCTCTGGTGACTCCAGCTGTTACGTTTCATCACCGCCATTAATCCAGATCTCTGAGCTTTATTCCCACCTCGCTGATCCCCATCAGTCCTTAAATGCTTTTACTTTAACTGAGCCTTCTGGGTTTCCCTCGGCGTCGCGGCCCCCTGGCGTGGCAGACCGTTTTTTACTCCGAGTCCACCTCCGTGTGATCAACATAAGTTATGTGTCGTGTCGGGGCGTTGCCCCCGCTCTGCCTGATGCAACGTTGAGTTCATCTGCTGCAGAACTGCAGTGTCACCCGGCGGACAGTCAAATGCATCACCGCCATGAATCAAGCTGAGACGTCTGATTTATAACGAGGGATTAGCATTCAGAGCAGAGGTCCTCACTTCTGAGTCTCAGCTTACCTTAACGTATGACAAAGTCAACCATTTTGTTTTATTGGGGTTTTATGGGACAGACCAAAACAACTAATACATTTATGTCGAAATGCAAATGAGAGGGGAGTTTGTTTTGTAATTCTTCTTTAAACGGGTCGGTACCTTCGTTCCTGACCCGTCTGCTGTGTGCCTTGGTCTCCATGTCACAGAACAGCTGGATTTATCCTGAGACCCCATCACCAATGACTTTGCTCAGGAAGGTTACCGGCGCGCTGCGTTCAGGGGGAGAATGTAAATGTCGGCTGCATCTTTTGGAATCTGATTTGGAAAAGAAATTACAACGTTTGTCATTTTCTTTTGGCTTCATAATGATCTGGAGACAACCACACCGCTTTCGCAGAAGTTTGAGTAATCACGACGTCCTTTGTAGCCTCGTCAGTCTTTTGAGAACTTTGTTTGGCTGCGCAGCGCTCCGCCTCGGCACAGTTTGGGTTCAAGTCGGCTCTGGAGTGGGACGAGAGCGCAGCCAAATCTGTTGGCTGCTATTGATATCCCATTTCCTCTGTCACTCCAAAGCTGCTTTGCATTCAGAGGCTCTGCAGCAGGCCAGAGTGTCCAGCCTGTGGCCACTAATACTGATTATCCAGCTGCTGGTGCTGCTCTTCAGCGATCATCCAGCCTTTTATTATGCCAGCAGCCGCAGCAGAGTTGCAGGCGCTGGAAGCTGTCCAGCCCTGACGTTTTAATTGCGCCTCTTCCATATTAGGTGGGATGTGCACCAATCTGGCCGCTGTTTTTTTTTTACATTTGTCTCATTAATTATCTTTTTTTTTCAGCTCTTTAAAGCTGGCAGACTTCACAGAAAATTGGAGTGAAAGAGGATCAAAAGCGCAGACAGGTTTTATTTTTCTCTCTCTGTGACGTTACAGCCTGATGATCATTCACACGCGGAGCAGCAGCAGCTGGAGAGAACGTGTTGAGTTTGGGTTGCAGATGGAAACGCTGGCTGCGTTTTGTACAATTCAGTTAATGCAGCACTATAAAAAAGGAATGTTGGGAGTGTTAAATAATGGCCATTTAATTATTTTATGAAAGGCACATTTCAGCTGGGAAATTACATGAGAACTTAGAATAGATTTCAAGTTTTCATGTTTCGCTAAAACGCTAATGCTAATAACCTGCTGCTGTTGTTGCAGATTTTAGGAATGACATTTATATACTAGCTCTACTTTTCTAACTATTTTAGTAATATTTTATCTTTTTGTTGATGCATAATATTATGCATTTCAAATAATATTAAAATGGGATGTTTATGCTTTTAAATCAGATTAATATCAAGTCCATCTGGGTGATTAAAATGCATTTTCCCAACATTAGTGTTGTTGCTAAGCTGGCTAAATCTGGACACTTGTTCCAGCATAAAATTTTGCCTTTTATGAGTTTACCACTTTTGCTTAGGAAATATTTGTATTTATAATACACACGTTTTAGCCTTACTGTCCAATGCTAAATTCTTTATCTAATATTTTAAATGTCTAATGTCTTCTTATATACTAATTTACAATAAATTATTTAAAGTCAAATAATGTTAATATTTAGAATTTAACTTGATTCGTTTCGTACGCTGTAAAAAGTTGGCGATATCTAATAAAAAAACATTTTTTCACAACAAAAGTTACGTCATTTCTTTGATATGTTTAAATCTAAAAATGGTTTTGCAGATGAAATTCCGACAGTTGATTTTATGGGTTTAGAAAAGTGTGTTGAGTGCAGAAAACCCAAACATACAAGATGTCTGTTCCTCACAGACCTTCAAGTCTGTTTGGTTTTGAAGGGTTTGAGTTCCTTCCCTCAGGCGACCTGCTCGCTCTGTAATCACAAAGCGTACACACTCATTCTAATACTGCACCCACTCCACTCTCTGGAGTTGTTTTTTTTTCTTCTCCGTATGTATTATCCACTCACTTATATATTTGCCAGTGAGTGATATTCGCAGGTCATGCCTCACGTTCAGATACTATTACCACATCATTATACAGCACTGTAAAGAACTGAACATTTTTGACAGCGTTCCTTAAATCAGCAGTCATAAAAAAGCAGAATTGATGGAGGCGGCTCGCTATTTTTCCCCCTGCCAGTCGTTAGATCTGTAATATGGAAGCAGGCAGCGGGGATGTAAGATGTCAGCGCCGACATCGGAGTATGATTTATTTACCTTCAGATGCGTCGGCCCCCCTCCGCCTCAAACACGCGCCGCGCCGCACAGAGCAGTCCATTACACCCTTCTCTTTGTTTTCTCTCGCTGACTCATGCTCCAGAGCCAGCCCCTCCCCCCACCCTCCAGCAAGGTCACGCCACGCGCCACTAATGACTGCAATCAATTATCCAGCGCAACATTAAACGAGACCACAACTCCCACTTTTCTGTGGCCTTCCAGCCTTTTGAACCGAAGCATGGAGGTCAAAGATGATGCAGCTGATTCCTCTCAAATGCAACATCACGTCTATTTGAATGTCTGACTCATATTAGTCCACATTTTACTCATCGGATCATAAAGAACTGTGCAAAAATAATTCTGATTGTGGTAAACGGGGACGCACCGATCCACTTTGTACACTTCCGATACCGATATCTGAGGTCTAGTAGCTGGATCTAAAAAAAGAAAAACAGCTCAATTACAGCATTAATAGAAGATATATTTATTCATTTACAAATTTATTTGACAACTGCACCAGTAACGGATTCACATGCTTAGTGAAACATAAAGCACTTTAATTTGTTCAGTCTTCAATTAGGAGTAAGAACCGCCGATGTAAAATAAAGCATTAGATAGACTTACTGGCTTGGTTAGACATTTAAAAAATAAACAGGGAGAAATCTCATTCAAATGGTTCATGAAGTGGAAACAGGAGTTCAAAATATTCTAATTCAAACCCCAAAACAGAATTTGAACCTAGAATTTTCTTCCTACAAGACAAGTGCTACAAACTCAAAAACTAGAAGTAAAACAAGTTGAACTTCCTTTTATGCGGCGGCTTTCCTCATGAATATCTTGTGACGTAAAGACATAGGATGTTTTAGCTTTTCTCTCCATGCTCTCAGATCTTAAGTGTCACAGTTGGAGAAGTTTGTGTTCTGAAAAGAAAAAAAGCATTAAGCGTGTTTTAGGATCTCCCAGTGGAATAATGTTTGTGTCGTAAACTTCTCATAGATTTCTAGGGTGTTTAAGTCTTCAGATCTTCTTCTTATGTAACGATTCTCTCAGCAGTAAGAGCTGATTCAGGGAGCAGCACACAGTGATTTGCTGAAGTATTTATTTCTGTATAATTTATTAATAATTTGTTTGGTTAAAATGTTTCACGGGAATTTTATCTGACAGACCAACACAGACTAATAAGTGGAAGAAAAAGCAAAAATGGTCTTTAACAGGTTGAATTTAAGACTTTTTACGACCTTCAATGAAATTTAAGACTGAAAAACTATATATATATAGGGGAACGTTATAGTCTGTTTGTGGCTCCTGGAAACAAACACTGCTGATAAATTTGTACTTACCCATAATAAACTTTTAAAAACATCTAGCTAGCCAGGGTTTATTAGCAGCTAGTTAGCAGTAGCATCAACCACCTCAAGTCATAAAATGCAAAAATGTTTCAAACTTTTTTTGGACTAAATAAAAAAAAACCAATGAGGGAAGAAAAAAAATTAGGCACACAGGATTACATAATACTGACAAAATTTAAGATCTGCGATTAACGTATTTAAAGCTAACCTATATTTTGCATGAATTTAATACCTTTATTGAATTGACTGGAAGAAAGACATTTGGATATTTGTTTTTTGTTGCTTAAGGCCTCAGTAAAATGTGTTAAAATTTGCAGCTTTAATATCACAAAATGTGATAGTCACAGAAAAAAGAAAAACTAACGCGGAGACAAAAAGAGTGTCTACCAACTCGCAAAGCTAAAAAGTAGAACATCTCGGAGGAATTCCTGTCATCAGGTTGGTTTCAGAGCAGCCTTCTGCTGCAACTTTAATCATTATTAATATTTTAGGTTTTTAGTTCTGCACCAGGCCATCCAGAGGATGCAGAGCAGCATGTACACCAAGTGTCCTATCTGTGTTCCTCGTGGACAAAATGAGTGAATTCCAACGATGCGACCGACTACAAGCTCTGGACAGACACTGGGTTGTTATGATCCTGACTTTTTATAGCTGCTGTTCCACAGCTCTGAAGTTTCTGAACTGGCATATTGTCAAAATAAGTCTGCAATGAGAACAAAATTTCCCCAATTACTTGCGAGAGCCTTGAAATACATTTAGTAACTGATTATACATGTTAGTTTTTTTTCTTTTTAGTTTTAACTGTTAAAAAAAATCACTCGAGAGGGCTTACGTTCAGAAAGTGCATGAATGTTTCATGACTGCACTAGATTTAGTATTCTGTTTTAGCAGCTGACTTTAACGCAGGTAACATAAGGAGTAATGGAGCAATAACTAGTGCAGAAAAGCTCAATTCAGGCCTAAAATCCTTCCCCATGTGAAGTGGAGGGGGCGGCACTCGACACGCCCGAGCACTTAACACCAGCATATGGTAGAAAACCTGCTTTGCTACTCATTTTCTTCCACTCGGTTCTGCTGTGGCTCGTCGTCGCGCTGTCAATGCAACAGTTCCCGCTGCCGGTACCGAGACTTGCGACTGGCTGTCGAAAATAACTGGAATTTCTTTCTGCTTCATTTTCATGCTAATATATGTTTATACTGCAGTGAAGTGGTTTTGAACTATTAGCTTGGTTTTATGAGCAAGGCATTTATTATGGAGCTACATAAAAGTAGCACTTAGTCACCACGTAACCTTGCTAGCCTTTTATTACTCTATATGCAGCACCGTGCTAAACAAGCCCTTTAATTTTCTTCTTCTACATTTTGTCAGGTAGCATGTTATGCTGAAGTTAAAGTAAAATGATACATGGTTTTTACAAATCTGGAAAGTAAGAGATTCACACAATTACCTCCTAAAATGAACCAGAAAACAAAAATAAAGATGATGCCAAAGTTGACGATGAACGAGATGGTCGATCTTGACATCAATTGGACCAACGCCAGGCTCAAACGTCCCCCAATCTGTGAAAACAAAAGCAGACAGAGCTCTGATAAAAAACATTCATCTGGACAAGTCATCACTGCTGAAACACAAACCGATTTCCAACCTTAAATTCATCAGTAAAATGATTGAAAAAGTTGTTTCAACAATGACAAACTGCTTCACTCCTGCAACATGATTTTACTCCCTTTGAACAGTTTTCTGTTTTCTTCTCTAATGCTAAAATGTAGCCACCTAGCTGCAGTTTGCAAAACAGGTTTTTCACAGCTTGCGCTCATTAACATTGATATTAACGGTGTTAAAGTTCACTGGGATATAAAATAACGCAGCAGCGATAGTTTCTCTGTTGACAAGTTGAGCCGCTAATCATCATGGCTTCCAAGAAGCCATTTAATTTAATATCTGATTAAGATGGATACATAATACATTAAAAATCAGCCGTCTTTACTAATTACTAATTTTGTCAATATTTGCCTTGGACACTTCATAGTTATTCATAACCAAGCAAAAATGCTTTTCGAATTTCATCTATTTCTCTAGAAATGTGTGCAGTAAACTCTCACCACATCCCTACTTTAAGATGCACAAAGTCGGAAAACCCGTTTCGCCTTGTAGAATTTCATAAAAGTAAAGCGTGTAACAAAGAGGTCATCTGCGATTACTAATGCATTTCAAAGTCACAGAGCAGCGTGAAACTGTAAATCCATCCTTCAGTTTACTTCACGTGGAAGCTGCGTCCCAGAATCCCATGAGGTGCATCACTCTGGAAGAAGACGTTGCTTGTTCCGGTTGCCGGAAAAGTGAGAGTAAAGTACTTTTGCGGGTTTATGAATCCAATAAACCTTCCCTGAGGCAAAGCAAGGTGATGCTCTAACAGGAAGATTGGGAGTAAGGTCGACAATATAGGCTGAATATGATAATTTGGTGAGTTTTTTTTTTTTTTTTAAAAGCTTAGGTAGCAGGTAGGAGCTGTCAAGAAGTTGGAAAAAAATAAGAAAAAAAGAGATTGCCGACTCCTCCCAAGAAGAAAAGAAAATAGAGGATGGCAGAGAGGGTAAATAGAGTTTCAAGTGATGTGAGCAAAGGAAGATGATGGTGTAGGAGGCCTAAAACTAGACAAAAACAATAAAAGGCTGAGGAGAGGCGGGGGAGGAAGGCAGCGAGACATATAAAGATGGATCAAGCATTCAGTGAAGTGGAGACTGAGGGTGTGATTGAGGGCATGCCGAGGGGAGGGGGTGTGGGAAAGCAGCCGTGATGAGATGGCTTCTACTGGACCATGAGATTGATGAATCTGCTTCAGAGGGAGAGGGAAGAGATAGTGGAGGGAGGAGGAACGAACGCCTTGATGAAAAGACCAATCGCCGTCCCGCAAGACACAACAGAATCCACGGCTTGATAAAGGAACAAGCCGCTCGCATCTCCAGCCCGTCTATCTTAGGACTCGGCACCAGAGGCATCTTTGCAGAATGTGCTATCTCTAATCTGATTAATTTTTTTCTTTTTTTTTTTTCTTTCGTCGTTTGTGGTATGCGTCGCTGCTGTCACATCACAGGAGATTACAACGTATCTGGAGCGAATAAGAGTCTTTGAAAAGATGGGATTTAATTTACTCTGACGTTCCGACAGCAAACACTCTTAGCCGCACATCAATCATCTCCGTCGGATGCCAGCTGATACCCAAATCCACTCAAATGTAATAAATATTTTCAGTTGGTGATCCTCCTAAATCGCCTCTGTCCGGCTTCCCTGTCTCTGCTTGGGGGTTAGCATCAACCAGAATGAAACTGCCAATATCAGAGCTGTTTTTTTTTGTTTTTTTATTTACTTCAGCTCCCCTAGCTTCTCCATTTTTCCAGATAAATTCTTTTGGTCAACATTCAGTTGCTCAACATTGGGCGTCCGTGTTTGGTTATCGATATTGATAGTTGAAAACTGAAGGAATCTATGGTGGCACAGAAGTGCAAAGCGCTACAGCAAAATTAAAAATAACAAAAGCACTACAACAGTAACAAAAACACTACAATAGTAAAGAAAACACTACAACTTTAAGGATAACAATATAACATGAAGGAAAACACAATAACATCAACATAAAGTTTTACTTGACGTTGTGGCATTTTCTTTACTGTTGTTGTGTTTTCCTTAATGTTGTTTTTTTTTCCTTTATGGTGTAGTGTTTTCGTTTATGTTGTGGTGATTTTCTTAACGTTGTGCCGTTTTCCTTCATGTTGTAGTGTTTTTGTTAAAGTTGTAACCTTTTTGTTATTTGTAATTGTGATTTCAATTTGCTGTAGCGCTTTGCACTTCCAGGCCACCGTATAATTAGTTTATATATTGGTGAAGCTAACGTGTTTTTCAAATCTCAACTGCGTCATATATGTAAATACATGTGTGTATTTACTGATTATTGTTTTGCATTGTCATATACTTGAGAACAAGTTTTTTTACTACAACCTTCTCCTTTTAAGGCACTTGGTTTTATTTTCTTACTGCATTTTACCATTTTTATTTTTGTCAATTTGTTGCATTTAATTCTACTAGCATAAATTGAGGTTTTGTAATACGACAAAATGTCAAAGTTTATGGCGTGAGCATGAACTGTCAGACTTTGTAGGTGTTTATTTTGCAACATGGTTCTGTGCGGCGCATAAAATAATATATAAAGTCTACAGGAGGCAAGAGGAGACAGAGCGAAGAGGTGGGAAGAGTGAGAAGAGGAAGTGGATATTAATCTGTTCTCATGAGACCGTTTCACCTCCTCTGCCTCCAGCCGTCTCTTCCTCCTCTTCTCTGTTGCTGCTCTGATTTGTCAGCCGCCGCCTTGGTCCAAGGAGGATAAGAGCGAGATAAACAGCATTTGCACACAGTGTGGTGGGACTGAACGGAGCGGGCCCCAGTGTTCCTTCCGATATTCTCTTTCTTCAAACTACAGTGCTCTCATCACAGTGACAGGATAAGTCTGCACAGCTGCTGATTTTATAGGCTGTAATGAAATGGGGTGGGGAAAAAATGTGCTGTGCCACTATAAATGCCTCGACCAGAATATAAAATCTGTTCCACTGGTTAACACGCTGGTCTTGTTGCTGTTTTACTACATGGCTTTGATTTGTCTTTCCGTTTTTGTTTTGCCAGATGCAACATCAGAGAATTGAGGAGCTTTCTCCGAGCTGCAATGGGAGTCTGTGAAGCTACAGATTTAAGGCGTCTCCTTCATGCTCCTTCTCAATCACAACACAAGCAGTAGTCGGTAGAGGACCCATTATCTGAAATTAATGTCAGCGGTGTTGCGGAGGCAGCCAGATGCTGCGCTGCCAGCTCTAACGCTACCCATGGAGGTGTGGCCTCAACTTTTCCAACACCACCGCCGCTGCTGATAATGCCAGCCCAGGGAACAGTGATGCCTTCTAAGGTCTCCTGCTTGTACTTGCTGACGGTGGTATGCTGGGCCAGCGCTCTGTGGTACCTGAGCGGCTCCCGCCCTTCCTCTTCCTACGTGGGCCAAGTTTCCATCCCGATGCGCAAGGCCCCCAAAGTGAGCAAGAACGGCACGTTCAGCAACATCCGCACGCGCTCACTCAACCCACATGACTTTGGCTACCTCATCAACGAAGCCAAGAAGTGTGAGGCCGAGCCGCCTTTCCTCGTCATCCTGATCAGCACCACACACAAGGAGTTCAACGCCCGCCAGGCCATCAGGGAGACATGGGGCGATGAGACAACATTTCCGGATGTGCGTGTGGTCACGCTCTTCCTACTGGGCCGGAGCATAGACACCGTCCTCAACCAGATGGTGGAGCAGGAGAGTCAGATATTTCATGACATAGTTGTGGAGGATTTTATCGACTCGTACCACAACCTGACGCTTAAAACGCTGATGGGCATGCGTTGGGTGGCCACATTCTGCCCCAAGTCTCAATATGTTCTCAAAACAGACAGCGACATCTTTGTCAACATGGAGAACCTCATCTATAACCTCCTTAAGCCCACCACCAAGCCAAGGCGGAGGTATTTTACGGGCTATGTCATCAACGGTGGGCCAATCAGAGACATGCGCAGTAAGTGGTACATGCCAAGGGATCTCTACCCAGAAAGCAAGTACCCACCATTCTGCTCTGGCACAGGATACGTCTTCTCTGCAGATGTAGCCGAGCTCATATACAAGACCTCCTTACACACCAGGCTGCTGCACCTGGAGGACGTGTACGTTGGCGTGTGCCTCCGCAAGTTAGGCATCCACCCTTTCCAGAACAGCGGCTTCAACCACTGGAAGATGGCGTACAGTCTCTGCCGCTACCGCCGGGTGGTCACCGTCCACCAGATCTCCCCAGAAGAGATGCACCGTATCTGGAACGACATGACTAGCAAGAAACACCTGAAATGTTAGCAGACTGATCTGTTCTTCAGAGATGCTTTCAGGAGCTTTGTTGTGCTTTACTGTGCAAGACCAAAGCAAACTCCTCTGGATTAACCCGTTCGCTCAAACTTCAAGGAGGGGCCGAAAGAGGAACGTGCAGAACCCTTCCGTGGATACTCGTCCATGCCAGCAGTGGAAGGATTTTTACGTGATGGGGAAGCATAAACATGTGTTTAGCTTCTCATTTATACAAGGCACAGACTGTCCCCAATTACCAGGAGTGCAGATGAGAGAAAAGCTGACAGACGCTCTGCTTGGCTCAGTCCCAAGCCCCGATTTTTGAATGTTCTTCATGTATTTGTTGTATTTTCTGATAAAGGTGTTATTCTGGATATCCGATACTACAGCAGTCATTGTGAGGACTATTGTGGATCTACAACGTGATGAGTTGATGTTGAACGCAGTAGTGTTTATGAGAGAACATCAATGTTTTGCACAGACGTTTTGTTTTCTAAAAGATTTAAAGCGCATCAGATCTGAGTGAGAACATGGCTGCTAGCATTCCCAGGTGAATGTTAACCTCTGATGTGTGTAGTGCAGTATTTTGTCTCTGGCAGTGCTGTGAGCAGGCTGCAAACGGTGGCTTTTTCTATTACTTGAACA